ATTTGGGGACACCAGCTGGTATCCTTTGGCCTTGGATAATTTGGGAAGGACCCCAAGCAAGTGCTCATTGCCCTGGCTGTGTGGACAGAAATCTCCACGTTGGGGGCTGCCTGGGCTGAGGCCGTGTGCACAGAGCTCTCTCGGACCGAGGCCCGTTCACAGGCATCCTAGGCCACGTTATTGAACAGCACAAGATGCAACTGATCTGTAAGTGGACAGTTTCATTTTTTACATTTCCTCTCTGGAGTAAAAAGAGAAGCAACTCTGGCCGTCGGTAACATATCAACTCCTCCGCAAGCCTCAGGACTGAGTCTATCTACACATGGAAAATAACTCCCCCGGCTCCCGGCTCCACCCCCACCTCTGGAGATAAACTATAATAAAGTATTAACAACTGGCTCTGCTCTCTGACAGATAAGGGATGACTTTCTTTAAAAGACCTCTGTGCTCTGTTGCTGCCAAAGCCATTTAAACTGCAATCATTAGTGACTTCTCTGCCTAGAACGTGGGCCAAGGCAGATTTCTGTGGGAGAGGCTCCTCAGTCATGTGCTCTTGGTGGGGAGCAGCTGTCTGAAGCCGGGGTGCAGGAGCAGGAGGGAGGTGCTTCATCCAACCTGGGCCAGCCGGGAACTTGGGCTTGGCTTTGGCCCCTGGTGTGCCCCGCTGGGAGGTGCCCGACAGGACGGTGGGGTAGGGGAAGCAGACAGATGGGATGGACAACTCCCCTTCCCCAAGCAGCCCGAGGGGAAGTTGCTCACGTGCTCTTGTAGGGATAACGGAAGCGCGTTTACAGAGACGGAGAGCTGAACTGGGGCCTGAAATATTCTGACGACCTTGGGGAAAGCGGTTGGGGAAGAGAAGGAATGTTCAGTGACAGCTGAGTTCTTTTCTGTTCCCTTTCCAGTCCTTCAGATTGCTGGAAGCACTTGGGATGCTGAAACTTAAAGCAGTAGGAAGCTTGTGGAAGTGTGTGTGAAAAGGTCACGGAAAAGAGAACGGAGAGAGGACGAGGCTGAGGAAAAGGAGGGACAGGACAAGGGGAGAGAGAGCAAGAGAGCGCCGAGACAAAGGAGAGTGAGGGGACAGAAAAGAAGGATGGGGTGTCTTGAGGGGCGAGAGCTCAAAACCAGGAGTGAGTAGAGAAGAAAGGGACTGATTTCCTTCTTTTTAATGGCTGAATAATGCTCCATTGTAAGTATAGACCACATTTTCCTTATCACTCATCTGCTGATGGACATTGGGTACCATTTGTGACAACATGGATGAACCTGGAGGACATTATGCTCAGTGAAATAAGCCAATCACAGAAGGACACATACTCCTCTCACATGAGGCATCTCAAATAGTCCAGCTCACAGAAGCAGAGAGGAGAACAGTGGTTACCCAGGGCCAGGAGGAGGAGGAAATGGGAAGTTGTTCAATTTGGTAGACGGTCTCAGTTATGCAAGATGAATTAGTTCTAGAGATGCTCTGCACAGCATAGGGCTTAGAGTCAACAGTATTGTATTGCACAGTTAAAAAGTTGTTGAGAGGGGCCAGCCCAGTGGCGCAGCGGTTAAGTTTGCATGTTCTGCTTTGGCGGCTGGGGTTGGCCTGTTCAGATCCTGGGTGCGGACATGGCACTGCTTGGCAAGCCATGCTGTGGTAGGCATCCCACATATAAAGTAGAGGAAGATGGGCATGGGTGTTAGCTCAGGGCCAGTCTTCCTCAGCAAAAAGAGGAGGATTGGCAGCAGATGTTAGCTCAGGGCTAATCTTCCTCAAAAAAAAATAAAACGGTGCAAAAAAAAAGAAAAAAAATTTGTTGAGAGAATAGATCTCATGTTAAGTGTGTTTACTGCACCCACAAAACAATCAAACAAAGAAAGGGACACCAGGACACTTTGGAGGTGACAGGGACATCTGTTACCTCAATACTGTGGTTATTGTTTCACGGGTGTGTGCAATGTCCAAATTCACCAAACTGTACGTTAAATACATTAAGTATGTGCCATTTATTGTACATCAATTATACCTCAACAAAGCTGTTTTAAAAGAAGAAGAAATGGACTGTGATTCAGGAAGGCAGGCCGAGTCTTTTGAGAGAAAAGTTAAAAATTGGCAGCTCTTCCTGAACCGATGAAACTCAGACACATTCCTGGATGTAATTTTTCCAAATGAGAAAACTGTCCCTTTTTTTTTTGTCTTAGTTGCCAGAATGTTTAAAAGTCAAATTTATTGCCTAAGTTTTGCGATCCGTTCCAATCAGGTGACTGAAACATCTACATCTGTGTCTTTGAGAGGGTGCTGGGAGCTGTATCCTCAGACGCCTCGCCCTGCGCAGCATTGCAGGCTCTTGGCCGGCGCAAGCCCTGTGGGCAGTGGGTGCAGCATAAATCTTGAATAAAGGGCAAACATACACTCCAAGAACCAGGGAAATAAGCTCTCCCAACCCATCTTGTCTCAGGAAGAGAATACTACATGTCCCACGAAAGCAAGAGGCGGCTTGACAAGGAAGCGACCCGGGAGCAGAGGAAGCCTGGGAAAGGCGGGGATCCGACAGGAGCAGTCTTTCAGACGTGCAGTAACCAGAAAGATCAATCAACCAGTTAGGATATTTGCAGTTGTCTTATTACTTTGATTTATTTTTAATTACCTAATATATTTAGCTAGTAACACAAGAACCAGCTTTTATGGTATAAATTTTCCAAGGTCCCAAAGGGTATGCAGTGAGAAGTAAGTGATTCTCCCAGCCTTTTCCTCCAACTACCGTCCCCCTCGCCCCACCCCAGGCAAATGCTGACATCAGTTCCTTATATCTGAAGGGAGATCATGTGGCTTTCGAAGACACTTGACAAGGGACGCTGGCCCATCCTAGACATGGGGTTAGAACGGCTCATCTGTGGAAGTGATACTTGAGCGAAAAGGTGAAGGACAAATAGGAATTAGTGAAAGAACCCTAGTGAAAGAAGGAATTGCATATGTAAAGGCCCTGTGGTCACTGTAGCACAGCACTTTTGATGAAATGGCAAGCAGGGAGGGTGGCCCAATTGCGGAGAGTGAGGTGAAGGGTAGGAGGAGAAGAGGCAGAAGCAGTGCGCAGAGCTGGGCAAAGGCCATATGAAGATGGTGATCTTTAAGCCTTGACGGTTGAGAGGGTATATGAGACAGATCCATTCCACATTTTAAAAACACAATCACTGTAGCTTCTGTGCAGAGAAGAGCAAGGAGCCAGTACTGATGAGGCTAGAGCAGTTAGGAGGTTGTACAGGAAAGCTTGGGTGCCCTGGCCCACACCTGTTCAGCATCTCCTTTGAGTCCGGCTATGGCAATGGCAGATGCTCCCACTTGGGCTTTACCTCACCTCACACTAACAGCCCCAACCTCAAGAATGTCCTTGCCCAGGGCTTCTCCAAAGACACCAAGGCCGGTGGAAACTGTGGGTGCACGTACAAGTACGATCTGGGAGTTCAGGGGAGTTCACGCTTCCAGGAGCAACCCTCAGCTCGTGGAGACCAGGAGCCAGTGGGTAAATGCTCCTCCTGGGCAGCCCGCAGGACACCCTCCTCAAAAGTCCCAGATGCGTCCTAGGTGCCCACAGTGGGGACCTGACTAATACACTCTTACGCGACTGTCCTTCTCCTCCCACCCTGCCTGTCCCTCACTTCTGATCCCTGGGATTACCTGTTAAATAAACGACCAGCATGGAAGTCCTAGTAGGCTCTGTTTTCTGGGTGTATCCCAAGGCGGATGGAGGCAATTGCAGTTGTCTGGGCAAAAAATGATAGGAGCTTAGACTACAGTGGTGGCCATGGAAATGGGCAGATTTGAAAGATATTTAGAAGGTTAAATGAAGAGTCTGAGGCCATGTTCTCCAAAGCCGCTCTCTTTTATACTCCCCTCGACACTCAGTGCAGCCAGTCCAGGCTCACAGCTTGTGCTAAGTCTGGGATGGAGGAGGTGTGCCCATGTTTGACAGCTGTGCAAATGCCTACCATATATGGAGGTAGAACTCAACAGCCATTGCAAAACAGGTTACAGGAGGTAAAGATGGTATTTCCAGGCAGTCCTTAACTGAGTCAAATTTAAAATGAGGCCTTTGGCAGATGTCCCAGGCATGAGTGTCTCCTTCAGGCAAGATCTCATACCCAGGACGACGGAAGTAGCAGTAATAACAGGAGGAGGAAGAGGAGGCGTGGTGACAGCTGTTCTGTACTGAGCTATGCACATGTCTGCTCACACCAACTCTGAGAGGGAGGTATCCTAACCCCTACTTTTCAGCTGAAGAAACGGAGACTCAGAGACGTGCAGTAATCTTCCCAGGGTCGCTGAGTAGGAAGTGACAGAGCAAGGACTCACGCCTTGGTCCAAATGGCTCCAAAGGCCATGCCTTTAACAACTCTCTCCTTTTAAATGTCCCTGTGCTCCAAAGTGCGGAGCGAGCCAGGGAGAGCCCAGCCTTCTCTGTTTATGCTGGATTGTTGCGTTACCTGATTGTCAATTCGATCCTGCTGGGAGGTAGGTGAGGCTCGAGGTGAGACTGGTGTGCTGCGGCGGTAATCATAGCGCAATATAGGAACGTATCAAAGCAACACACTGTGCACATTAAATTTACACAATGTTATATGTCAATTATAGCTCAATAAAATAAGTAATTAATTTTTTTAAAAAAGATGACATTTGGGGGCCGGCCTGGTGGCGCAGCAGTTAAGTTCGCACATTCTGCTTTGGTGACCCAGGCTTTGCTGGTTCGGATCCTGGACACGGACCTACGCACCACTTGTCAAGCCATGCTGTGGCAGGAGTCCCACATATAAAGTGGAGGAAGATGGGCACAGATGTTAGCTCAGGGCCAGTCTTCCTCAGCAAAAAGAAGAGGATTGGCAGCGGATGTTAGTTCAGGACTGATCTTCCTCAAAAAAAAAAAAAAAAAAGGAAAAAAGATGACATTTGGTGGAAGTGGGGAATAGAGATGCCAGTGAGTGTGGCCTTGGTGTGCTGGATGGATTAGAGACAGCACTGGATGCCTCTCATTTATTTATTTAACAAACAACTTACGTCGACTCATTAAATCCTTATAACAACTCTATGATGTAGGTTCTGCTATTATCCCCCTTTTATAGGTGAGGAAACTGAGGCAAAATAAAATGGCTTAATAACTTGTCCAGGGAGAGAGAGTGAAGAAGTAGAAGAGCTGGGGTTTTAACCCAGGCGTTCCAAAATCTGTGTTCTTAACTCACTGTCCCGTCATGCTCCTCCTTCACCGATTCACTCTGCGAACGCTCTGGGTGCTTGCTCCATGTCAGGGTGTACTTAGACACTGTGGGAGCAGGCAAAGTACAAAAATGAATCAAGCGTGAATTCAACTCTCAAGAAACTTATTCTCCCGTAGACGGTAAGCATTTCCATAAGCGATTGTGAGAAAATACAGAAAGTAACAGATGTCTAATGAAAAATAGATAAAATACCATGGGGATTCAAAAAAGGAGAGAGATTCCAAGATGGGGAAATGTGACCAGTTGGCTCTTCAGTTTGTTTTGCTGCGTAACGAACCACTCCAAAACTGAGTGGCTCAGAAGACGCCTATTTCTTATTTCTCACAGTTCTGTGGTGGCCAGGCGGCTCTTCCATTTGGGGTCGGCTCAGTATGCTGGGTGGCCTGGGATGGCCTCACACACCTGTCTGGGATGGCTGGGACAGTGGGGACTTCTCTCTGTATGACGTGTTGTCCTCCAGGTGCATAGTCTGGCCTCACTCTCCTGGGGGAAAAAATGAGTTTCCTAGCAGCAGGAGAGAGAAAGCCCTGATGCACAGACACTCTTCCAGCCCCTCCCTGAGTCACATTTGCTAATGTTCCATTGGCCAAAATGAGCCAGGTGGTCCAGCCTGAGATTCAAGAGGTGGAGGAGGAAACTCCACCCTTTGATGGGAAGAGCCGCAATACCACATCGCAAGCAGACATACTTGGCGGGAGGGAGGGATATGCAGTCTTTTTGTCTTTTTTTTCTCATTAGGATCAGAGAAAGCTTTGCGGAAAGGATGGACCTTGAAAGATGACTAGGGCTGGGGAATGCGGCAGTTTTCCCATATCTGGAGAAAAAAAACAGAGGCAAGAGAGCTTCAGGGTCCACAAGGACTGGCAGGTGCTTCACTTGGCTAGAAGGAAGGCTGGAAGAGTACACTGGAACTGAACCGTGGAGGGGATGGAGTGATGTCTTTAAGATCTTGGTATCCAATGGCTGGCTAAGAGGCTGATCTCTGATTGCAGAGCACAGCGCCTCCAAGTGGAGATGCTCCACCAACAAGCCTGGCTGCCGCGGGAGCACCTTTCTCTTATTCCTGCAGAGTCCGCCCTATCCTGGCCTGAGGGGCAGGCAAAAGATCTATGGTAGCCGGTCTATAGACTGCCAAAGCTCTGTGGTGGCCTGTCCTGAAAAGGTGAGTTGGGATGGTGGTAAAGGGCTGGGGCATGTGGGAGACTGTGGCACTAGTGGCAGAGGTGAATGAAGGGCTCATGGAAGTTAAGTCAAAGCTGGAGCACCCAAAGCCGTGTTCAAATTGGCCATGTGGCTGCTGAGGGTGAGGAAGCCAGCTAGTAGAGAGAGGAGAAGGAGCACATGACAAGGGAGAAATAGACACAAGGAGAGAAGACAGGTCCCTGGAGCAGGCTCAGGTCCTGATGACTTTCCCATTCATCATTACAAGTAATTCTTTTTCTCTTCAGGCTTTGAATGAACCTGTCCCTCCATCAAGTGATGGGTGGTCTGTCCTGTATCAGGTGTCGGGTGGTCCTGTCCTGCATCAGGTGACGGACAGTTCTGTCCCTGCCTGAGGTGCTGGGTGGACTGTCCTGAGTCAAGTGATGGATAGTTCTGTTCCTGTGTCAGGGGCTGAGTGATTCTCTCCCTTGAGTCCCTGGCTAGAACATTGGTTGGAATAAAACTTTGAAAAGAGGCAGAGCAACCAGAGATGGAAGTCTATCTTGGGCAGGTTGCAAAGCAGGCTTGAATCCCAGATAAGGTGGTATTCAAGACTGGAGTTGTTCTTAAAATGAGTTACAGGTATTCTTTCTCTATCTCTTCTGGCAACTAGATATACCATAAAGTGAAAACTGAAGCCATCACATTTTCAGAAACATTCTACGGTTAGGTGAAGTCTTGAAAGTTTAAAGAATGTTAGTTTGAAGTCTATTTCTTTAGGTATTATTTCTTTCAAATATTTTATCAGTTCTTGCTCCAGTTGTTAAAGAAACCCGAAGCCATTCCCTTCTGCATCATTCCTTTTGGGAACATTTACAGAGCACTTCTCAGCAGTGGCCCAGGAAAATGTACTTCCCTGGAAACCAGAAGTTACACAATCATCCTTGCCCTCCAGAGCCCCAGGGGGTGCAGAAATCCCCGTTATAATTAAAGTCCTATTATGATGCTTTTATGGAACCTCCTTTGCTGTAAAGGAGGTCCAGCCCATCTGCCAGAGCACAGAGTGACACAGACACAATGTGATATGTCAACCATTCATGCTCCTCTTTTATGAGACCAACTTTTATAACTTTGTAGTCAGCCCACTGACAGTCTATAAAACTTGGCTTACTGGAAACAGATACATCAACCATGAGATATCACTTGTCAGAGACTGATCCAGCCTATCCTGGACATGAGCCTGTCCTTAGAAAGAAAGCCATTAGGAATGAGAGCCTGAGTTTCATCTAAAAATGTGTAGGCACCTGTCCTGGGTCACCTTAGACATCGCTCCTTGTGAAAAACACTGCTGTTGAGTCTTATTACAATTGACATGATATTTATGGGCAATGTATCATGGCCTGGCTGTTTATGAATCTTATTCCAGTAGAATTCAGAGTTCACTAATCCGGCCAAATATTATTCTCAAAAGCATTTTCTAGTCTATTTGTGGCAACAGAAATGTCTCGTCTTTTGGGAACCCAGCATTCTGGCATCGGGGGCCAGCTTCCACTTCAAAGGCAGCGTTCCAAGCAGATGCCTCTTTGGGCTTGAGCACCAGTGGGAGGAGTCCCACACACCCAGTTTTCACGCAAAGTCTGCTCCACCCCATCTCTGTCTTACCTTCCGTAGGTGCTCAGAAGCCACTTCTGTCCCCAGATTGCTCTCCTTAGGCACAAATGGGACTTTGAGGTCCATCGATGGAAAGGGCTTGGTGAGTCTCCTGTTGCCACAGCTTTGTTCTCTTTCAGAATGTGTCTGGGATTTGTGCATGACCCTCTTCCCTCAATATCCAGGCGTTCAGCTGCAGATGAGAAGCAACTCAGTGAAGTTTCATGATACAGGCACAGCCGGAAAACCTGTCTCCATGGCAACCCTAGGTTACCTCACCCAACAACATTCAGATGTTACTGACCACAGAAGCATTTTTTCAAACGTGGAGCAAGCATCAGCTATGTCTACATAGCCAAGAGTGTTTTTTTGATGTTATATCCCTCTGTTCAGAGTTCTTGAGATCACGTCATATGTTAGGGGAGCATTTTGTATGTAGACGGCGTCTCCCCCGTGCTCGGCCTCCGCACATGGAGATTGCTTTCCTACAAAAATAAGAGCAGTTCTTCTAGGGAGACAGTGTCATTATTCATCTCTGCTCTAGTCACTGCCTGTTGCCAGAGTCGTTTTAGTGTTTTGGATCCAGGATTCCTATTTTCCCACAGCCTCAGCAAGCTCTGGCCCACTCAGCACTTGATTGGGGTTGTTGGTGGGACACCCAGGTGTTCGGGGTGGAGTGGGAGGGACCACTGCCATGGTGACCTTCCACCCCTCCAGACTGGAATCATTAACTCAGGGTGCACACGTGGTCAGCACTTCTCCCCCATTAGCCTGCTGGTGATTAGCATTATTGGGAGTGATGTCTTCTGTCCCTCTGCAGCTCCCCAAAGAGCTAACTTAATTGTTGAGAAACGTTGGAGAGAAACAATGTCATTCCTCTACATCATGGTTCTCAGCACCGGGGAAAGGAGCGATTTTCTCCCCCAGGAACATTTGGCAATGTCCAGAAATCTTCTTGGTTGTCGTGACTGGGAGAGGGGTGCTAGCGGTATCCCGTGGATAGAGGCAGGGGTGCTACATGGGACAGGGCTCCCCCAACACTAAACGATCCAGCTCAGCATGTCACTAGTGCTGAGGTTGACTGGAAGTCCAGCAAGATGTGAATTCACAGCAGTTCAGATCTCTATTATTATCAACTGAAGGGCAAGCAATGGATTACTTATTAACCGGATGAATAAGTGTCTCTAAGTGCAGTCACTAGAGAATTCCAGCATACAGAAGTGCTTTCTTGTGATGGGGAGAATTTGCAGTGTATGCTAATCCCTTCTGGAAAGCCTTTCCTTCTCTGAATTATGATCTCAGTCTATGTTGTCCCTCACTGCCTCTCTATTGTTAAAATTCCTTTCTGCACAATTCATATGAACATAAATCCTTCCTTTAAGCTCTAACCAGTTAGACTTACAGAAAAGTAGATTCTTCATTTAAAAGCAATATGCATTCCCAATCTCTTTCTCCCTCTGTGTGTGTGTGTGTGTGTGTGTGGAAATCTCAGGACAGGTGGAAATAGGGAATGGATGAAGCGACCTTCAGGAGCCCAGCTCACGGCCACGTCTGTAATCTATTGTTTATGCTTAATTGGGATTTCTTTGCTATCACTAGTCTTCTAGTCATGTATCCTAGAATTATTACTTAAAATGTGATTCATATGCTGTATAAATATGGCCAAAACTTTTATGTTTTCCTCACTGATGGAAATAGGAAGAAGCATGAGAGGAGTTTAGCTCCTGAGATCCACCAGCATTTAAGCCAGCAACAGACATCACACCAGACAAGTTCTCAAAGTAAATATCTCCAATCTCCGTGGCTGGCTTTCTCACCAAGGCTGTTTTTCTTCCAAAGCACGAGTGGCTAAGTCATATCAAGGCAAACTTAGGTCAAGATTACAAATATGCAGTACCTCTGATTGTCACACCCACTTGCTCACTCCCATGAGGGAGGATGATATAAGGCTAAAGGAAGAAACTTGCTTAGTGGGCTCTCACTCAAGACAGAGTGGGCTGGGCCAAGCAATTACCGGTTTAGGGTTCCATGTCAACAAGATGGCGGTTCTCTGTAAAGTACCACCTATTGGAGAGGATGATCTAGAGTGTGCCATAGAATTTCTGCTCCAGATCAGTTGTTGCTTTTAAGATGTTAAAGCAAAAAAAAAAAAAAAAGCACTGTAGAAGCTGATATAGATACATTAACCAGTTAGGCATATAGGGAGAGGAAGGTGATCTCAAGAAGCCACTGTAGCTGAAGGCCACCTCACAGTGGAAATTTCACAACAAAGATCGTATTAGTGGACTTTAAATTGCAAGGATGCTTCATGCTCAGATTACCTCTGGGGATGAGGATTATTGTGTGGCTAGAGCATAGGAAGTCCTCTAAGCATCTGTACGACTCGCTAGGATTGAGCACTGGCACACCTGAGATGAGCAGAGGGCTTCATGGGGAGCTGGAAGCATAGCCCACTGATGTGTGCGGCAGAGTCTGGCCCTGATCTTCTCTGCGTGTACCACATGTTCTCACTGGCCGAGAGAGAGTGTGATTGGTTTATTTCATCAATTTAAGAATTTGTTGCTTGACTCAACCGTGACCCAGGCAACAGGGTTGGTCTCACTCAACTCCCCTTCCCACCAGCCACTTCCTGCAGAAAGAACCACCTGGGTCACGTTCCTTTGGGGGAGCCAAGCGTGGGGCAGGCCCTCGGTGCTTCGTGGACTTCTCTCTAGGGCAGCGTCCAGTTTAATGTGTTCACCACTCAAGTCCCTCATTCCCAACCCATTGGATACTCTGCAGCCTAGGTCTGGAAGAATAGAGCCCATTTTTAACAGAGGGAGACCCTTCTTGCGTTTCCTTGCAGAGCCTGTCAGCAACTTTGCTGCACAAGGCCCTGGAGGAGCTGAGCTGGCCCTTCTGTTAAGGAAAGCCAGCAAATCAAATCCATGCAGATGTTTTTCTGAGAGCTGTTCTGAGCGGGGCTCCGGGGTTTAGCCCTGCCTGGTATCACATAGCATGAGGGAGGTAGGGAATTCTTCTTGGGGAGCAGGAAGTATATTACATGAAATCAAAATGTAAGTGTGTTCTTTTTGGATTATGCAATGTTTTTCCCTTCTATTTTTCTTTATATAACCTTATCGCTTAGCTCCTTTCTTTCCCCTCCGCCTTTCTTGGCTCCCAAGCTAGCTCTGGTTCTGCAGGATAGACTCAGCTCTCTGGGCACTCTGAGTGCCGTGGTTTCTAGCCCTCTCCACTCCAGTATCACTGAAGTGTCACCAAGGGCTTCACTGACCTCATTGTCTTATCCGTTGCAGAAATCCTACTCCATCTAGACTTTCAGATCTTAAGAGACCTCTGACTTAAAACCAAAAGGCCAGAGAGAGTGCGGAGCATAGTCCCCAGGCGCCAACATGACCTCCCTTTATCGCCTGACTCCCACTCCTTTGATGGCCAGCATCGCCTCCCTCTCGCTCTGTTTTCCTTCTCAGCTGACCTCCTTCCATACAAGGACCTGCCTGCAGACAAGCATCTGATACACCTTAGAGGGTGAAATAGACTCCCCACACCTAGTATTTCTTCAATAGCATACAAGGCACTACATTTCATAATTTGAGACGAAACTTTAAATGCAAGTACCCCTGGGAAAGGAACACTGAAGTGAATTCACAGTTAGGCAGGAACGGCTCATGGTCTCCCCTCAAAGCAGTGATTTTGTGTGTGGTTGCTTGCACGCCTGTTTGGGTTAGCTTTGGGTTCCTGTTGGGAGAAGGGTTGAGGGGTGGGATGAGAGAAGAGCCAAGGAGCCCTGGATGTTTAAAAAGGGGGCCGACAGGGAGACTAGGCTCTTTTTCTCACGATGTTGGTGAAGTCTCCTCTGCTTACCCTCTTCCTTCCTGACCGTCTCCTGGTTCATCTCCTGAGTCAGCCTTACCTGAGCTGCCGCCGCTCATCGTGCACAAACACAGCCCCCTTAGGGTGGAGGTGGCTTTCCCCCCACGACCCCCATGCATTCTCTGTCCATTCTTTAGTTCCAGACAAAGCGACTCTCCCCAGAAACTGAGAAATGAGCCTGTGTCCCAGAAGACAAGGGTTTTGCTTCATTAACCAAGAAATCTTGAAAGCAACAAAAGTAGAAGGAACACAAGTGAAGAAAGGCTGAGCCTTAGGATAGGGGAAATGAAAGACAGAGTAAGAATCTGTTGAAAACTCAAATTTGTTAAAGTGTGCTAAATGGGATTAAACAGTGGCACTGGGCATCTTCGTGCCAGTCCTGGCCCATTTGCCAACTCATGCATTCCTCCCCATCTGCTCTGTCTCTCAGGGCCACCCCGCAGGCTGTATTTCTCAGACTCCCGTGGCAGCTGGGTTCTGGCTGGGTTTGGCCATAGGGGCACGGCAGGAGTCAGGAGGACAGGCGGAGAGGAAGAAGTGGGTCTCTCTCCCTCACTCTCTGCCTTATGCAATTTGTATGTCAGCATTGCTTAAGGTTGCACCCAAAAAAAAAAAAAAAAAAAATAGTAAAATAAAATTATCACAAAAGAAAGTACAGCTTAAGTACCACTCACCTCATGTGACTGACCACCCTATGTGTGCCCTTCAGTCCTAAGGCAAGCTTCATGAGGGAGCTGCTGCTGCCCGCTTCAGAGAATTTAGCGTTTCAATGACTTTGCTTCTTCTTATGATGCTCCTGTACCAGGTGTGTATAACCTTCAGACTGTTTTAAAATGAGGCCCAGACTTATTTGTCCTGCTTTCATACTTCTATTTGCTGGTTTGTACTCATCAATCCACTCATAACAAAGCAGTCCTTTTATTACTCTATAAAGAAAAAATTACAATTTCCAAATTTGCTGCACTGTTAAATACTACTTGGAATCTAAACAATTGAATGCCTCTGTTATTACGATTAGCTCCTGGGGGTCTGGACTCCAGTTTGGATGTTGTAAGAAATGTGGCAAGGAATTTGGGGTACAAATCTCAGTTCCTAACTCCCCCATCTAAACTCTCAATCCAACATTTTGTTCTATTGTGTTTTATTTTATTTTGAAACATTAAAGTAGTTTTGTACTCTAAACAGCGGACTTACTGTGTGTTATGTTAAAGATAATTTTTCAGAGCAGGGCTTCTGGAGAGAAGAAAGGAGGAAGCGAGGATGCAGAACGTCATCCCATCCACCTCTCCATCTCCTGTGTCTTTTCTGTGCCTCTGGTCCCATTCTGCCCCAGAATTGTCCACAGGCCAGACTATAAGCTAGGGAGTCAGATTTGGGGAAATTCACAATGTCACTCCAACCCTCCACTAGTCTCTTCCAGCCTTGGTTTTTTTCTGAAAACAAAGGTGTCCAGTGAGATAAGAAGAAAACCAGGAAAGTGGGTTGGCTCAGAGGTCAAGGGTCTTTCAAAAAGGAGCTCTCTTGCTTAAAAAATAAAAGTATTCTTAAAACGGATTTTCCCTTGAG